TCTCTTGCTGAGTTAAAACCGCTTAAATTATTTATAATGGAAATTGTAACACCATCTCTCATACAGTGGCATGAACATGCTGCTCTAAAAATTATGATCCTGCTAACTTCTTAAACTCAATATATTTGCCTAAATCTTAAACTACTTCAGTTTTTAAGCTTCAGTATTTAAGCACGCAGGCAACAATATTAATGAGGTATTATTATTCTTACATCTTAAAGTCAAGTTATTTGCATTTTTTATGCACAAGTAGTAAGATAAAACAGTCCAAATCAGATGCATGTCTCTAACAGAGCAAAGCAGAATACATTTTACATGTATTCCTTCAACTGCATCAGAACTGGAACTTAGAAAATATTCCTTTAGGTACTATTGGTGGTGGGTTTATTCACCATGATGTATATACTTGCTGAAAACTAAAAGTGAGACACAAAGGGGAGATGGAAAAAATGGGTAAAAGTGTCTTTAAAGTTTCTAAATGCAAACAAAATCTTCTGAGGGAAAATTATCCAGACCATCTTCATTATATACCAAATTCCCACCCAGCTGCGTGTTCATACCTTCCCCTAGCACAACAGCAGGAGACAATAAGACAAAAAAGAAGGAAAAGATCACAGATTGAAAGATGGAGAGATTACCAAATTGACCTCCAGGCAAAATAGACTCTACTAGGGGAATATTATTGTAATATCTTAGCTATTAAAAGAAAAATACAATTACTAATTTGAGTAATGGAAAATCGAAAAAGACAAAATGCTTTCCTTCACTCTCTTCTAATCTCAGCTTCATTTTTTTGCTCCTGATTCTGTCCTCGTCTTGACCACTGCAGGGAATAAGAAATGGAGGCTGTAGTCAGTCCATAACAGCTTCTCTCAGTTTCTCCTTTCTCCTCACACTTTTCCTCTCCTTCACTGTAGGTCCTCCATGAGCTGCAGTCCTTCAGAAAAAAAAATATCTGCTCTATAGTGGGTTCTCACACATGCCACAGGTCCTGTCAGGAAAAAATCTCCTCTAGCTCATGCTCTCCATTGGCTGTAGTATCTCCTGGGTCATGGAGCATCTTCTCTTTCTTGGGCTCTGATCTTCATGTTCCCTCTGCCACACCTGCAGGCTAACATCTTCCCATTTACACCAATACAAACAGTAAAGAATTATTCAGTATTACTGTCTAAAAATGACAATGACACTCAAATCCATGCTCAGCTCATACCAAACCCTTTCATAACATAAACTAATGTGCCATCTCTCTGAAAGCTAGACAAAAGATTCAATGAAATGTTTTAGGCTATAGATCTTGTCTTTGTTGTCTAATATTCAGGTTCCTATCTGTTGATTTGATTTTTTTTTTAATGGTCCAGAAGACAAGCTTTGTTGATTAGTCAGAGGGTGATTAAGTACATTATTTATCCCTGACTGTCAGGACAAAACAGTCTCCTCATCTACTATTTTCAGTGAAAGGATAATAAAAAAATTATATAAGTCTTCACCTCGGTCCCATAAGGTCGTGCTTAAGATTTGTATCTGAAGTTAATGGAGTAAATTCTGCAAAATTCTGAAGTGAAATGTATGATGGAGGGATTATGATTCCCATTGTGTTATCCCTGATGTGTGAGTAATAGCACTAAGATTTGATCATATTTTTATAGGTCATTTTACAGTGAATTACTAGTAATCATGATTTAAAAACTAACTGACACCTAAATATTTTATACAAAGAGGATACTAGCTCATAAATTCCTTGTAGCTTTCCAGAAATATTACTAAGAAAAATTGCCACAACACTCTTAAATAGTTGTCTTATTAGTATCTTGTCAACACCTAAATGCTCATATAATTTATATCACATAACTCCTAGATTTTTTTATTTTCCACCGTAATAGAATTGAATTTCTTCTTAGTAAATGGTACAGTGCTATGTTTTGGATTTAATATGGGAATGATGTACAAGCATAGAGTGTGCCTTTATTTCTTAGATAAAGACTTACGCTCTGTACAGTCTAATAGCATATCTTGCAGGTCACAATAAGGTTTGAGAATATGTTCAGAAATTCTTCAATCTAGACAAACTTTCAGAAACTTCCTAAGCCAATTTTGTCTCTCTTTGAAGAACTGGTCTCTTTATGTGGGCTATGACAGGACACTGCAGTCACAAACACAAGGATAATGAGAGCATAAACCTGGCTAAGATGAATCTGTGACCATGTGCCTTCACTCAAATGTCTCAAAAAGCCTGTGACTGAGACTGGATTTAATCTAGTATCTAATACATTAATTAGCTAATTTTTTTAAAGTCAGATTTCTACAGAGTTGATGACACCAGAACATTACCAAAAGCTGCACTTTTTTTGTGTCAATAGGTAAATTTTGCTTCCCCCCACATACAAAAGGAAAACTCTAAGAAAAAGAGCTATAACTATGAGTTCAATCAAACATTATGAAGTATAAACCGAAATATACTGATTTGTGCTAATTTTGTGTCCTGAAACCAGAGAAGAAAAAGGAAAAAAAAAAAAAAAAAGGGAAAAAAGAGACAGTATAGCCAAAAAGTTAGCCTTGTTTTCCAAAATCTTTGGGGTTTAAACTGAAAATATTAGACAAAGCTATAGTGAAACCATCTGCTCAGTAGATTGGAAGAAGCTTGGAGTCCAGAGGCAGTGATTCAGTTTACTTTGCCACTAGCACACAGCAACCAGGATAACTGTCAAGAAAAAAGTGGGTCAGGGAAGTATCACGGGGTGTGGTTGCTGTTGGGGAATAACGTAATGAAAGGGGGACCAATATCAAATAACAAAGTCAGGAAATGACAATTCTAGGAAGGACTGTGCACTAAACTCTCGCAATTATATTGATTGAAAGCTCTGCTGGCATCTGCCATTTTCTCACGACAGGTTTTCTTTGCCAATCATTATATTTAAAGGTTTTTAATTATAGGACTTAATCAGACTAACAATAGCAAGGTTATGAAGAGGTTCCTACTTAGAAATTATATAATATAACAGGATGAAAATTTCATCATCCTTATGAAAAAATAACACTAAGAGGTATTTCACAGGACTGTTGTAAACAGGGTATATGTGATGAGCTACTTCAAAAATTGACCAGTGGTACAGATCCTTTTTAAATAACAAGGAATTAGTATTACATTAAAATTAATTAGCATTATCAATTAAACTCTCATTTCAATGCATGTTAGAGAAAAAGGTTGTATCTAGAGAGTGCATTTATTATATTGGCAAATATAGAAACCATTAAACACTCAAAATAAATCAAAAATGTTATTAAATATTAGAAAAAATAAGTTATTTAAAATGTCTGTGTGGAGAGATTTGTCTTTGGAAAACAATTATTGGATTAAAATACTGTTTTGCTAGAACATATCTATTTCATCAAATGTGCCTATAATCAATTATTCAATTATTTTCTTAATTACAACAAGTCTTTCTTTTTCTCTCTCTTTTTTAAATATCAAACTGTTAAAATTAAGCATTTTAACGACTTTTTTCCAGAAGATTCTGGTAGGATCTGAGCAGAATAAACAATATACCTTTCTGAGCAGAATCCTAATAGTTTCCTTCCTTCCTTCCTTCCTTCCTTCCTTCCTTCCTTCCTTCCTTCCTTCCTTCCTTCCTTCC